CCCTGCACTGTACACCACATACCAAACCCTCCCAGGGTGGGGAAGCTTCCTGACAAATCCTCAGGGACTTTCAAATTCAGTCATTGCTGTTGTTCCATAGCCACCCTTATTTTCAAAAGAAGTCTCTGTTGCCCCACTCGGGTCTACCTACCATGCACCAGAGCTGGGGCTCTACCCTTCCCGCACATTGTGCATCTTCGGAGAGGCACTTTCAGCAGCACAAGTACTAGTGTCTCTGGACCTCCAGAGAGCCCAGGACACCCTCTCCATACCAACAAATCCAAGTCAGACCTGACAGGCTGCAGCCTGCTTGAGTCCCTGGGTAGCCCTGGGCTGAGAGCCATTCTTGCCCTACTCTGTGCAGAGTCTGCACTCCCGAACCCGGGTGTTGTGGGACCAGCAGCTTATGGATGCCCTGGAGTCAGGGACACTGCTGAGGCTGCTGAGCTAATGAGTCTTGTGAGACTTGGAGCCAGAAGGGTGGCCGTCTGTAGAGACCCCAGCGGGCAGCACTGCTGGCCACAGTGGAGAGCCCCTGGCACCTGGCCGGCTCACCAGCCTGGCTGAAGTTTGCTGTTGCACTGTTAACTCCTCTGGGGAGCCCACCCTGGAGAACACAGGAAATTACAGGGAGAGACTGTGTGCTGGGACCATCACTATGCAGTGCTAAGTGCTGTCCTGAGGGCTGTGGATACAGCCCTGATGAGGGGGCATGCAACTCTGCAGAGGGCATTCAGGGCTGGGTCAGGCAGCAGGTGGTCATGAAGGCTCGGTGCCTATAGCTCAGTGGCTAGGGCACCAACCACGTACAGCAGAGCTGGCAGGTTCGAACCCAGCCCTGGCCTGCCAAACAATGACAACTACAACCAAAAAATAGCCTGGTGTTGTGGCAGGCACCAGTAGTCCCAGCTACTTTGGAGGCTGAGGCAAGAGAATGGCTTAAACCCAAGAGTTTGAGGTTGCTGTAAGCTGTGACACCATGGGCACACTACCCAGGGCAACATAAGACTCTGTCTCAAAAAAAAAAAAAAAAAGCCATTTCATACACTGAGAACAGCATGTGCAAAGGCTCAGGTGGGGTGGGAGAGAGGTGCTCTGGGTCCTGCACAGGGCGCATTTAGGGAAGGGGAAGGGTGCTGAGACGAGGTGGGGCCTGCAGGCCATGCAGAGGCAAATGATCTGAGCATTAGCAGTAGAGGGCGCAGGAAGGGTTTTTTCTTACCAGATTTGCATCTTTGAAACCCCCTGGGTACAGCTGCAGGTCCTCCCAGGGCTTGGTTTCTACCTTAGCACAAAACAGCCAGTGGGGACAGGAATGTGCCTCAGGATCAAGTCCGTCTTCCCCTAGTTTTCCTGCGGGGCTGGCCCACTCAGCCTGTTTCTGGTGGATCTCCTGGCTCTGGGCACCTGCCTGGCCTTTGTGTCTGCCTGGTGTCCAACCCACCCTGCCCTGTGCCTGCCTGTTTCCCACTTTATGTCACCCTGCAGCCATTTCCAACTTGGCTTAACTTGGCTTACAGGGAAGCCAGCTCTTTATCAGACCGTTTCTGCTCCAGCATAGCTGCTGGCACTGTCAACAGTCTCTCTTACTGAACAGATTCGTCCATTGAGTGCCAAGGAGCAGCCAGGCCTCCCTGGACGTGCGGTACTCCTCTACATCCTCTTCTACACTGTGGTCCCGGGAATGTGCTGTGCGTCTTCCTCAGTGCCACTGTGCGTCTTCCTCAGTGCCACTGTGCACAGACAGATACCCGCTCTCCCAGAAGTACTTAAGACGGGCGCAGCCCCTGCCTACCAGCCTCCCCTGGACCACCTCAGGAGCATCCCTCCTCCCTTTTGGACTGAGCAGGGGGCAGAGGGCCTAGCCGTGGGTTGTGCGCACTTCCTCAGGGTGTCCTTGGCCCTCCATTGCTGTAGATGTGGCCCTCGAGGACATCCGAGCTTCGGCTTCAGAGCTGCATGTGAGGCCAGGAGAAAGGCAAAGTTAGCAAGGAGCAATTATGAAAGAGCGAAAGCATCAGTTTCTGCACATTCCTGGGCTGGGCGTGCCACCTTCTGCCTTTTCCACAGTGCACCTTGCACACCCTAGACAGAGACGGCATTGTGCTGCTGCACGCCCTGAATTAGCAGCCTTTTCTGGGGCAAGGCGCACAGCTACATCTTTGGTGTCACTTCCTCCTTGCCACCCTCATTGCCCAGATTAGCTAGGGATGCTAAGCTGCCCTCCAAAAGGAGTGAGCACCCTGGACCTCACCCCACCGGTTTACGGGTGGTGCCTGCACGGCCCTGTAGTGGTCCTCAGCTCCCTTGCCTTGTAACCCAGGAATGAACCGGCTAGCAGTCACACTCCTCCAGGGAACTCTGCCCCTGCGGGAAGGAGCCCATGACAGTGCTCTTCAAATGACTGCCTGGGAACCAGGTGTCTTTTTTTTTTTTTTTTGAGACAGAGTCTCTGTCACCATGTATTAAGTGCTGTGGCATCACAGCTCACAACAACCTCAAACTTTTGGGCTGAAGAGAGCCTCTTGCCTCAGCCTCTCAAGTAGCTGGGACTATAGGAACTTGCCATAACACACCATTAGTTTTCTATTTTTAGTAAAGATGGGGTCTTGCTCTTGTTGAGGCTGGTCTCAAACTCCTGAGCTTAGGCAGTCCACCCACCTCAGACTCCCAGAGTGCTAGGAACCAGGGGTCTTATTTAAGAGCCCCTTTCTAGCTCACGCCTGTAATCCTAACACTCTGGAAGGCTGAGGCAGGTGGATTTCCTGAGTTCACAGGTTCGAGACCAGCCTGAGCCAGAGCGAAACCCCTACCTCTAAAAACAGCCAGGTGTTGTGGCGGGTGCCTATAATCCCAGCTACTCAGGAGGCTGAGGCAAGAGAATCACTTGAGCCCAAGAGTCTGAGGTTGCTGTGAGCTATGATGCCACAGCACCTGCTGAGGGTGACAAAGTGAGTCTCTGACTTAAAAAAAAAAGAAAAAGCCCCTTTCTGTGCCATCCTCACTCCTAGGAAGGCAAATTGGCACCACAAGAGTTAAATGTGAATTCCTGAAGCCCAAAGTTAGGCCAACCCCAATTTCAGCAGAGTGTCGGTGTCCCCACCTGGAAGAGACCCTCTGTGGACGGCTTTCCCTTCATGACCAGAAGTCTGCAGCTCACTTCTTTGCCTCAAAGCCGGTCTGGCCTCTGCAGTTCAGAGCGAAAATAGGTGGGCTCTTTCCCAGCGTCAGGGCTGCGTCCCCAAGGCCTGCCCTGCAGCATCCAGGGGAGCCTCCCCAGCCTCCCTGTTAGCCTAGCTGCTCCTCCCACTCAGTCATTTCTCCTGCCCCTCAAACAGAGCACGCACATCCCTGCCCTTCCCCATCTGCCCAGCTCCTGCCTTCCCACCCTGCCTGCTAGCTGGCAGCTCCCAGGCCCAGGCCTAACCCAGTCATCTAAGCTGCTGAGACAGGGAACCAGTGTGGCGGTGGTCCCCACTGGAAGGCAGCACCTCCCACTTTGGGTGGAATGGAATCCCCTGTTCAAATGCAACCTTATACAGGACCACAGTCTATAAAATAAGGGAACAGGAACTGCTGGGGAAAGATCTATAGATAATCCTGCACCCACATGGGGTCATGACAGCCTCATCTTAGTCCCCTGAGTCTGACCAAATCTAGTCATAGCTGTGGATGCTGTCGGTATTGGTCTTTGGCCACTGACACCCTCCCTAAGTTCCCCAGCCTTTGCTGCTGCGTGTCAAGTAGGGCACTTGTCTAACTGATTCCCAGAGGCAGGAAATGAGACCTTTCCTCCCACCCCCAGGCAGCCCTAGGAGAGTAGGAGCGTCAGCCTGCTCCCCTCCTTGCATCAGCCAGCAGGCCCAGAAAGGCAGAGACAGCATCTGATCGCCTGGTGGCCTCTGTGTTTCAGGGTGAAATATGAAGCCCCCCAAGCAACAGACGGCCTTGCTGGAGCCCTGGACGCCCGGCAGCAGAGCACTGGTGCGGTAAGCAGAGGGACCCTGCTGTCACCCTGGGGCCCAGAAGGAGGATGATGGAATAAACACCCCACTGTGTGCCAGGCCCTGGCGTGGCATATCCCTGCCCCTTTTACTTGTTTGGCTCTTAGATTGGCTCTTTGTGGCTAATGTGGTTATCCCCCATTTACAGCTAAGGAAACTGTCAGAGAGGCAAAGACATTTATCCAACTCCACATGGCAGAGGTTCTGACCTGAGTCCCAGAAAGCTGGAATGCAGCAGGCCTGGATTCCTGTCCCAGCTCTGCCACTTACCACTGCATGTCCTCAGGCAGACTGTTAGCCTTCCTGGCTCTTTGTTTCACCTGCGCACTGGGGACCTGGCAGTACTTGAGTAGTTTATAATAGGAGGGGATGCGAGGGGGTGTATTTAGGCTTCTTGGCCCAGAGTTAGAGTCCAGTCGACAGCATACCTCCCTGCCTCCCCAGAGACCTTTTGTGTGCAGGAGCGTGGGCAGAGGAACGCAAGGACAGACCCTGAAACAGCAGAAAGGGGTCCTCAGACGTCTGTTCCGTTTAGTTTCTCACTATTATTGACAGCCACGTGCCTGGCACTGGCATGAGCATGCTTTGTGGGTGACCCCTGTGCCTTGACAAGAACTCCACACACAGTTCTGTCTGTACACGTGTATCCAGATGCCTTTCAGGCAGTGTGAGAATTTCTGCTTCTACCCTGAGCAGAGCAGCTGTCTCCCATGGGAGATGGAAACAACAGGACTGGGAGTCGGGAGGAATGGGGGCAGCACCTCGGGGGCTTCCCAGGCCACACCCCCAGTGTGCACACCTGCACAGGTGCGTGCACACTCACACGGGGGCTCCTGACCCAGAAGGACAGTCTCTGCTGGAAGGAACTATGGGTGCCAGTGACCCTGGCCCTGCCATGCCACCCCCATCAGTGTGACTCTCTCTCACCCAGATGGGAGGTGGCAGCAAGAAGAGCCTCAGTGACTGGATGGTGAGACAAGGCATGGTAAGCAGGGGCCAGGCCTGGCCACCTGGAGGGCACATGCCGAAGCACAGCACAGGGCGTAGTGGTGCTGCCTGAGGGAGCAGGACCTGGCCAAAGACCCAGCGGAGATAGGAGGGGCTTCAAGGGCCTGTTCTCAAGCTGGCCAGGCCTGTGCAGCTTCCTCAGCCCCTCTGCCCAGTTTCTGTTCTTGTCTTAGACAAGGCCAAAGAGGCTGCTGAGAGGTGCCTAGGGCAGAGTGGGCTGGGAGAGTGAGTGGTGTGGGCAGCCAGAGCACTTGCTACAGCTGCTTCCGGGAAAGGGGTGCCGCCGTCCTCCTGGGCTTTGCTGTTGCCCAGTAGGGTTCTCAGCTGCTGGTGACAAAATCTGGAGACTGAACTATCTCAGCTGGAGAGACTCTCACTCTCCTCCTCTTTCCCAAAGCAGCTACACAGTGACTAGGAGACAGCACCACCATGAGTGGAAACTGGCATTCCCTGAGCGGCTGCTCTGGGCCGGAACTGTGTCAAGCTCTTGGTCTCTGTTTCTCCATTTCCTCCTGACAAGAGTCTGGACATGGTCACTGTTGTCGTCCTCACTGTAAGGACGAGGGAAGTGAAGGGCACAGAAATGGAGTGGTCTGCCCAGAGTCACACTGTTAGGGGCTAGCCAGATTCCAGTCCTGGCTCCAAATTCTATCCCTGTAACTCCCACCTGGAGTCTCCCAGTGCAGAACTTGGCTAGAGAAGGAAGCCCCAAGCCCTGCCCCTGTGTGGAAACCTTTGGTGGCACAGCCTGTGTCTCTGTGGCCCAAAGTGAAATGTCCCCATCTGAAGCACTGTCCCTCTGAGTCCACCAGACTGGCCTTGTCTGGTTGACTCAGTACCTCCCTGTTCCTAGGCCCTTCTACAGCACCTTTTGTCATGAACTCTGAGTCTGTGGAGGTAGAGGGGACAGAACCTGGTGGCTTCTGGCCCACTAAGTGTGCACTGCACCCAACCTTCATGGCTGGAACAGACGTTTAGGGTCTCTCCCTGGGCTCTGCATATTCTCTTGTCAGGCGCTTCTGTGGGATGGTCCCTGCCCTGCCCTAGCACAGCAGCCCCTCCTTAAGCAAGAGCCTTCCCTGAACCACTGGTGTGTCAGGACAGGGGTCCTGTCTCTCCTTGTGAGCTCCCAGTCACTGCCAGCCCTGCTCCAGCTGAAAGGAGCAATGTCCCCATCCCCTGCTTAGTCCCCCTGGCTCTCGACTGCCTCACCCACAGACCGGCACAGAGGGCAGACTTACAGGTCCAGGCAGCTGGACAGGAGCCATGTTGGAGGGGGGAATACTAGGGTCTCTACCCCAGCAGGGGACAGGGCAGGTCTAAGTGAGGAGGAGGAGGCTCAAGGCAGGAGTGGGTGACCGCCCAAGGCCACTCAGCTGGGGGAGCCTTCACTTATCACCAGGGCACTGCCCCTCCCTGCCTCACCCTCTGCACTTCCTTCCAGATCCCCGTCTCCCAGGCCTGTCTCATGGAGGACATTGAGCAGTGGCTGTCCACTGACGTGGTACGTTGGGGCCCACTCAGCCAGGAAGCAAAGGCTCAGGCTTACCCCTCGCTTACCTAGCAGGGGGCCTGTTTTTCTTCACAGGAGGCCTGTGAAGAAATGAATGGCCACAGGGTCAGGGTAGAGTAGTCCAGTGCACTGATGGGGGTAGGGTGAACCACTGGTGAGGAGGGATGAGCATAAAGTCCACCGGCCTACCACCTCCTAGGCACGTCCCCCTGGCCCACTCCCCAGAGGATGGCCTGGGCACAGCACCCTTCAGCTTCTTCCTGGAGCCTGCCCCCAGTGCACGGTCCCAGCAGATGTCAGCCCCCTGTGGGGACAGCAAGACAGGCTAGAGAGGCTAACAGAGGAAGTGTGGCAGCACTGAGCTCTGTACCTGCAGTAGCTCAGCGTTCCTACAGCCACTCACAGAGGGAAACCCCGCAGCACCCGTCTTACAGACTAGACTGGTACTCGGTCTTACCAGACTTGGTAAGGAAGAAGCAGTGGGTGCCAGGAAACGGGTACCCCAGAGAGGGAGGGGGCAGTGGTCTCCCCAGGATCCACAACTCACTCTGGGCACCAAGGACCACACCAGAGCCTGGGCCCCTCCAGGGTCAGGTCCGGGGGCAAGGACTGCAGCCTTTCTGTCTGGTGGCAAAACCTTTGCCCCTTTTCTACGTCCCCTCCTTTAGCATAAATGGCCATCAGTCTCTGAGTATCTTCCTCTCCGGCATGGGGGCAAGAACGCCCACCCCCTCCAGACCCTGGAACGAAAGGCATTGGTGTTTGTTGGGACCCACTGGGCACCACACCCTGTGCTTGGCATTCTGTGTGTTGTCCTGTTTTAGCTTCCGGGGAACCCTCCCAAGTTAACTTCAACTTCCCCATTGTATGGAAGAAAAATCCAAGGCAGATCCTTTTGTAGCTCATAAGCGTGTTGGTTGGGTTTTCACGTGCATGCGTGAGATGCGCCTCCCACAAATCCTGTTATGACGTTGACGTGGGCACATTACCCATCTGACATGGGAAGAAAAAAGAAAAGGCCAAGGCATGGGGAAGTCAGGTGACACCCAAGGCCCTGGGGCTCAGGCACGGCAGGTCCTGGGAGCTGCCACCCCCACCGCACCTGCTGGCTGGCCAGTGGCCTTGCTCCTGGGAGCTCAGCTAACTTTTGCCTCCTCTGCTTCTGCTTTCTTAGGGGGCTGGCACAGAAGAGTCTAAGGGCGTCACCAGTGAAGGTAGTAGTCCCCAGTCCCTACGTGCACCCCCTTTTCTGGGCTCTGGCCTCAGAGCTCAAATGCACCCTCTCTCCTTCCTCTAGAATTTGACAAGTTTCTGGAAGAACGGGCCAAAGCTGCTGATCGGCTGCCCAATCTCTCCAGCCCCTCAGCTGAAGGACCCCTGGCCCCACCTCCTGGCTCTGCCCCTCGGAAGAAAACCCAGGAAAAAGATGATGACATGCTGTTTGCCTTATGAGTGCAGGGTCTGACACCCTGCAGGCCAGGTCCCTGCTGCTCCCATACCCCTGGGCTGGGGCTCTCTCCCTCCTTTGGTGTTAAGGCTGGGGCTCTCTCCCTCCTTTGGTGTTAAGGCTGCTTTGGGGGTGGCTTGTTACCCCCTCTTCTCCCTCCTCGAGGATGGAGCTGACCAGCTGCAGCTGGGCTATGCCCGGGGCAGGGTGGGAGGCAGCAGGATGGATTGGAAGACAGGCCCATGCCACAGCAGGATCCTGACCACTCCTGCCTCCTTCCCACCAGAGCCGACCACTACAACTTTGTTGAGAAGTGGGAAGCCCCAGAACAGATGGGCTAGCTGCTTGGTTGACCCAGTGTGACTCTTTGCCCTGGGTGGTGTCTGTCCTGGACTTATCCCAGAGGAGCCCCTTCAGAGGCCTCACTGCCAGTCAAGGCCTGGCTGGAGGCCGGCCACAGTAGAAGTTATGCAGTTCCCTGCCCTGCCTCAGGGCACCTGATGGCTTCAGCTAGCCATAGAGGGCAGGGTGGACACCCTGTGCATGGCTGCCCACTGTCCAGGTACAAGCTGCCACAGGCTGCAGGGCGAAGCTCCAGGCACACCTGGGCCCCTCCTTCTGCTGCCTGGTCTGCATCCTGCCTCTGCTACTGCTGGCAGGGCTCCTCTGGCACTGGGCCCGCTGGTGGCTGGTCCTCTTGTATGGGGAGAGGTGCGTTTTATATCCCCAATAAAGGTAGAAAACCACTCTTCTGGCTGCGATGTCCAGTCTCCTGGTGGGAAGTGACTTCTTGGCTTCACAGAGCAGGGACTACTTGGGGCTGAGCTGTGGGCTCCCCAAGAGGTGGTTTCTGCAGATGGTGCAGACCCTCCCACCTCACACTGCTGTCCCTTCAGGCCACCTCCTGCCCTGCACAACATTACACTAATCACGAGGGAGCTCACGTGGACAGTGTTGTTGCATCAGTGAACAAGCCACAGGAAGTTGCTAGTCACCCCTCTGAGGCCCAAGCACTGCACAAGGCTCCTTGCTGGCTCATGGGCTCGGCACACCAACCCAGAAGCAAATTTACTGTCCTCACTTATAAACATGGAGACTGTGACTCTGTGGGTTGCATGAGCCGCCCGGCTCAGGAAGAGGAACAGATGCCGTTCGTTGTCTGTCATGTGCTGGGCGCTTCCTCATGGCACATTGTTCCCGTTTTTCAGATGACCACACAGAAGCACGGTTTGGATGACTTGGCATACAGCTAAAGATGCTGGGTCACAGGTCAGGTATAAGGGATCAGTTCTTACCTCCCTGCATGGCAGCTTGAGAGCCCAGGTCTTGGGGTACCACCTTTTCAGGTCTAGAATCTCCACACCAGGCCCCTGAAGAGTCATGAGCATGTTGGAGCCTCCTGCCTTTGGTGGCAGAAGGCAGGGCCCCAGGGTAGGACTGGGACGAATGGGTCCCAGAGGGCCTGGGCTCATGGGACAGGGGCCTGAGTCTGTGTGAGCAGACACCAGCTCCCATGGCCAGCAAACAGGCAGCACCTGCCAGCTCCAGGTGGGTTCCAGGTAAGGAAGGTAGCTTGTGGGCAGACATAGGGGACCTTAAGCAGGAGGAGGGAGGCACTACTGCCCCTCAGGAGGGTTTGTGGTCCAGCTCTCCCACCCCTGTTCAGGGTGGCTGTGAGTCCTGCTGTGTGCTGAACCCAACCTAGCCCTCTCCACACCCCAGCACAACCCTGAAAGGTTGATGGCTTGTTGGCCTCTGTTCACAAGTGGGGGAAACAGGCTTGGGGAAGCAGGGGCCTACCCAGTTATACACTAAGCAGCAGAGGGGTGGGATAGCCCAGTCCCCTGTTCACTGCTGCCCCTCCTGCCTGCCCAGCCCCCATTCCTCTCCCTGCCTCCCTCAACCCCCTCCATTTAACTGCAAACCCCTTAGGGAAATTGTGATTTTACAAGGATCAAAGGTGAGGCTACCTCTCCTCTATGTCAGCTGGGAAGCCCAAGGAACTTTTCATCCTGGCTTCAGGAACTCAGCACCCAGCTAAGGGCTAAAACCGCCAAATTGTTCACTCCTGGGGACGTACTGTCAAGAGCCAACTGCATGCCAGGGATGGATGGCCCCACGTGCTGGTGATACAGAAGTGAACGTGGCTGTGCTGGCCCTGTGGGGTCACATGTGAGGCAAGAGGACAGTACAGACAAACACAGTGATGGTTTTCCTGGTTTGCAACCAATGGAAGGATAACTGGATGCAGACAGTTTAGAGATGGGAGGTCAGTGAGGACACACCCGGCCTCAGAGCCCTGGATGCCAGACAGAAAGGGGCTCTGTGGAGGTCTCTAGGCATCCACTGGCCAGCATGGCATCTGGCTCCTAAAGGGCCCTCCTCCAGAGAGGAGGCTGCTGGGCCTGGGGCAGGGGGTGCTGGCAGGAAGCCATTAATGCAGCTGGGCTGGGTTTCCTGGCAGCAGGCGCTGAGTCTGAGGCTGCGGGGCCAGATCATTTTACAGGGGCAGGAAGTCACGGCCCCAGGAAAATAAGGAGCAGCTGCCTGTGGGAACCTTGGGCAGCAATGGAGCCTCCACCTGGCGCTACAGGGCAGGATAAAGGAGGCACCAGTGGCTGCTTGGAAGAGGGCACCGGGCCAGGGCCATGGCAGGAAGGGTAGAGTGGAGCTAGGGCCAGTGTGAAGGGGTTGGGAGGTGCCTGGGAGACAGCCTCTTGGCAGAGCCTCCACCGCCTGCACTCCCTCCTGGAATCCATAAACCACCAGAATCCCACCCTGGGCCCAAACACTGACCCCTGGACCTCCTGGCAGCCTTCAACTCTCAGACTCAGCAACAACCTCTGGAATTGCAATATAGCAGCTAATCCTGGCAATGTGGTACATGCCTGTAGTCCCAGCACTTGGGAAGCCTCAGCAGCTGAGGAGGTTGAGGCTGCAGTGAGCCATCATCATTCCACTGCACACCAGCCTGTGCGACACAGCCAGACCCTGTTTCTAAAAGCAAATACAGGCTCAGCGCCTGTGGCTCAAGTGGCTAAGGTGCCAGCCACATACACCTAAACTGGCAGGTTCGAATCCAGCCCAGGCCTGCCAAAAAACAACAATGACAGCTGCAACCAAAAAATAGCCTGTAGTCCCAGCTACTTGGGAGGCTGAAGCAGGAGACTCACCTGAGCCCAGGAGTTGGAGGTTGCTGTGAGCTATGATGCTACGGCACTCTACCCAGGGGGACAGCTTGAGGCTCTGTCTCAAATAAATAAATAAATAAGAGCAAATACATTAATTTAATAAAAAGCATTAAGTCCCAGTGCAGCCACCTCTGAGCTGTGTGGTTTAGGCAAATTACTTAAATTCTCTGTGCCTCACTTATAAATGGGCCAACAGTCACTCCCTCAGGGTTGATGTGAGGGTTAACTGAGCTGACAAGGGGTACAGCACCTGCCACACAGGAAGTGCTCCACACACATCTCTGTTGTCAGGAATGGTAGAAACACCAGTCCAGAGCACTGCCCCTCAGACTCCTGGGTCATTTTGGGACCCCAGCTCAGCCTCTGGGATTGCCTTCCCTGCTCCCAGGACAACCTCTGCCCCTTCTCCCCAGCTGGTGGAGAACCAAAGGACAATGTTTGTCTTCCTGGTGTGAGCTGCTGCCCTGAAGGGGGCCCACAGCTACCTTGATCACAGCAAGGGGGACAAGGCAGGGTCCACCCGTGGTCCTGGATGGGGCTCTGCTGATTCAGTGGGCACTTCAGGGGAAGCTTCTGGAGGCCTGTCCCAATCCAACTCCTAGACAGTTCAGGGTCAATGCCTCAGAGTGACCACAAGATGGCAGCAGCACTGCATGTGTAGGGTGCAGGGTGGGGCCCACAGCCACCACTGCCAAACCAGCCCTCGCTGCCCTGAGGCCAGCTACAGGGGTAGCAAAGAGCCTGGGGGCAACAGTCTGAGGTTGTAGCTTCACGGCCAGCTCTGTTGTGTGACGGTACAAGGAAGTTCAACTCCAGAGCTTGAGATCTTCTGATAGCTCCTGACTCACAGGTTGTGGGGAGGATCCAGTGAGACAAGTTTTGGGTGGGCAGGAACCAGCCCTGTCACCTCTGTGTAGAGTCCTCTGTGTGCTGTCATCAGCTCCTCCAGGCAGACATGTACTGAGCTCTGTGTGTATTGCTGGGTCTGTGTATGTAGAAAATCACACCAGGGACTCCAACACCACAGATCCCTTCTTTCCCCTCTTCCACAACCACCACCCCGTCCTGCAGCAGTGAGAAGCCTGCTTCCCATTGTCCCTCACTTACTTATTTGGTCAATCCCTGGCAGTAACAAATCTCCATGGCCACCACTGCCCCACCTGCCAGCCCTGGGAGGAGCCCTCCTACCCAGCCCTCCTAGCCCAGCACCTGACTTGGCTATCATCCCCCCACCATCACAACCCAGACCCCCACCTTGCGTGGCCCACCTCATGGCTTTGAGACAGGAAAACAAGAAGAGAAAGAGGAGGTTTAATATTAAGCAGATGGAGTAAGCCTCTCTGAAACCACCCACATGTTCATGCACTGCTGGTGTTTACACTCCAAACTACCCTGCCCAGCTCTCCATCAGAAAGCACCGCACAGTGCTCAGCCAGCTTAGCGTCTGCAGGTGCCCCCACCCGGGGCTTAGCAGAATTGACTCTCACAGTTCTGGAGGCTGAAAGACTAAGGCCAAGGCGTCAGCAGGGTTGGGTCCTTCTGAGGCCTCTCCTTGGCTGCAAGTGGTCCTTGTCTCCCTCTGTCCTCACGTGGTCCCCGTCTGTGTCTATTTAGATTTCCCCTTCCTAAGAGCACCAGGTACAGTGGATTAGGGCGCAGGCTCAGGACCTCACTTTACCTTAACCCTGTCTTTAAAGGCCTCATCTCCAAATACAATTAGAGGTTCTGTATGAATTTGGGGGGACACAGCCCAGCCCTCGGTTCTCTCAGGCCCTGATTCTCTCCCAGGCACACTGCTCCAAGGTTCCCACAGGCTCTGCAAGGGTGGCCATGGGTGACGCCCACCTTACTCCAGCCGCTGCCCCTGGTGGGGGTTTCAGATGGCTGCTAGATCCTTTTTTTTGAGACATTGGCTCACTTTGTTGCCCTTGGGGCTATTTTTTGGTTGTAGTTGTCATTGTTGTTTAGCAAGCAGGGGCCAGTCTCCAACCCATCCACCAGCCCTGGGGCATGTGGGCGGTGCCCTAACCATTGAGCTAGCCTAGATCCATTCTTAGGCCAGCTTGCCCTTAGGAGCCCAAAAAGGGCCAGCTGTGGGGGCGGGGTAGGGGGCCCCAGAGTAGAGGGAGAGGGGAATGGCAAGGGTGCTGGGAGCTGGCTGGGACCTGCCCCCCGCTAACGCTCCCTGCCACACCCCTTACATTTGCAAGCCGATTCGAGCAGCTGAGCTGCAGCTTTGACTTCTTTTTTGAAGACAGAGTCTCACTATGTTGCCCTCAGTACAGTGCTGTACCATCACAGCTCACAGCAACCTCAAACTCTTGGGCTTAAGCGAGTCTCTTGCCTCAGCCTCCCAAGTAGCTGGGACTACAGGTGCCCACCACAATGCCCAGGTATTTTGTTGTTGTTGTTGCAGTTATTTAGTTGGCCCTGGCTGGGTTCGAACCCACCAAACCTTCTGTGTATGTGGCTGGTGCCATAACCACTGGGCAATGGGCGCTGAGCCTGCAGCTTTGACTTCTACCCACCCTGGGACAAGACCAGTTGAGGGAGCAGC